ATTGCTTGTAAGCTATAATAATGTGTACTCTAAATGCTTGTGAGCTAAAAAAAAACTTGTACTGTAATTGCCAATGAACTTTTTGTGACAGTGAAAACTGTCTTGAGAAATCTGTTGTTGGTCAATCATGGTTCAACCTCTACAGAGTTTTAATTGTCTGTACATGACATACCAGTTTGTTGTCTTCATAGTGAGTCCAAAACAGGTCCCCGCCCACAGGCTTCATTGTGAAGGAATGCTCAAGGTAGTTAAGTTTAGCATGGTGTAACCATCAAAGGGCCATTGGTAAGCAAGAGACAATGTTTATAGGTGGAGAAGAGAAATGAGTGGTGAAACTGATCCGTGGGAGTGTCCCTGTATATTTATAGGTGGAGAAGAGAAATGAGTGGTGAAACTGATCTGAGGGAGTGTCCGTGTATATTTATAGGTGGAGCAGAGAAATGAGTGGTGAAACTGATCTGAGGGAGTGTCCCTGTATATTTATAGGTGGAGCAGAGAAATGAGTGGTGAAACTGATCCGAGGGAGTGTCCCTGCACATTTAGCTCAGGAGAATCAGCTGTACTCTCCAGCTTGTATAGAACTGAGGAGGGGTTGCAGATAATAGAAGAATTTGACTGGCTAATCTTTACAGAAGAGATCACAAAAAGGAGAAAAGATGTGTATAAAGTAGGCTGTAACCTGTTCAGTCACAAGGACACAAATAATTAGAAGCCAGCTCTTGAACACTGCTGTCTCTGCTCCCTCCTTTTGTTTCCTGAAGGAGATGGGAATTTGTTGTAATATAACCAGTGTAAACCAGTGTTGTGTTGTTTTAATTTGTAAGTGAACAGACCTGGGGATGCAGCAGTGCTGACCCACATCTGGTTGTGTGCCAGGACCTTGTGTCAGGCAGGTCAAGACCTTACTGCCATCGTCTTGGAAGCCTGGTAGACATGGATAAGACTGGGAAGCAAGAAGCCAACAGTGCACACAAATGAGCAGGGCTAACCGAATGATCAAAATTGATGAAGCTGGATGCTTCGGCTGAAAGCTGCAAATGTCCCAGCTATGCTGTAAACAGGCACAACGTAATTATGTCACTCAGACGAACAAAAAAGAAGAAGAAGTAAGCAAAATCCATAAAAGAGATGTACTTGCAAAACTTCTGGGAACAAGACCAGAAGTCCCAAAAAGGACAAACAGTGAGGACTTTTCATAGGAGTTCACAGCCCAAGAACAGGAAGAACAAGAAGAAACTGATGTGACAGCCATTGCCAGTGGCAACAACCTTGGCTGACTGGATAAACTGCACTCAGTGAGATGACTAGAAACATGTCTCCTTTGGAGAGTCAGCGAGATGACTAGAAACATGTCCCCTTTGGAGAGTCAGCGAGATGACTAGAAAAATGTCCCCATTGGAGAGTCAGTGAGATAACTAGAAAAATGTCCCCATTGGAGAGTCAGTGAGATAACTAGAAACATGTCCCCATTGGAGAGTCAGTGAGATAACTAGAAATATGTCCCCATTGGAGAGTCAGTGAGATAACTAGAAACATGTCCCCATTGGAGAGTCAGTGAGATAACTAGAAACATGTCCCCATTGGAGAGTCAATGAGATAACTAGAAACATGTCCCCATTGGAAAATCAGTGAGATAATTAGAAACATTTCACCTGTGTGGCGTCAATGAGATAACCAGAAACATGTCCCCATTGGAGAGTCAGTGAGATAACTGGGTGGTTGGTTGAGACCAGAGGTGGGTAGCTGATTGAGGTCAGAGGTGGGTAGTTGTTTGAGGCTAGAGGTGGGTAGTTGGTTGAGGCCAGAGGTGAGTAGTTGTTTAAGGTCAGGGGTGGGTGGTTGGTTGATGCCAGAGGTGGGTGGTTGGTTGATGCCAGAGGTGGGTAGCTGGTTGAGACCAGAGGTGGGTGGTTGGTTGAGGCTAGAGGTTGGTAGTTGTTTAAGGCTAGAGGTGGGTAGTTGGTTGAGGCCAGAGGTGGGTAGCAGTGAATCATGATGGTAGCTTGTTAGTCAACACCAGAACTGTTTTCATGGTGGTACACAGTACTGGCACCAGTGTGTGTGTGTGTGTGTGTTTTTTTAAAGGCATAATGTTTTTCAGCGCTACTCTAATAGACACTTTGAGGTGAGTACTGGTACCATTTTAGACCTGATGAAAAAAGTCCTGGACGGCGCCATGTGCCAGCTGGTACTGGTGTTTAGATAAAGTTAGGAGGAAGAGGGCAGGGGTGGAGCAGCATAATGCTTGAAACAGTTCATTGGTGGTACATTGGACATAGTGCATCTCTTCTTTCACCAGTTTGTATATCTTGGGCATACAGACTCTGTGGTAGAGTTTCTCTGATGTTGATCTTTCCATCTTTATCTTTGTCTGCCTGTGGTTCTTGCTCTTGTGGTCACCCTAATTCCATTTACTATTGTAGAGTGTCTCTGATGTTTATCTTTCGATTTTATCCATGCGCCTTGTGTTGGTTTCGACAGTGGTATCAAGAAATCTGACCGTCCAGAAAGCAGTGGCAAACTACTGGACGTAAATTTGCCTAGAAAAACCACACAACAGCCAGGGGCTGTTGGGGTTGGTTCTGCAACGTCCTGTAAAGGATACGCAATTAACCTAACCTATTTTCTACATCCTTTTTTTTTTTTTTAAGTGTGAATGATTAAAATGTTACTTGCCAAGATATTTCCTCAGCGTGAGCAAACCATTGTTTTTGCTGGCTGTCTATTTAATTTATTATTGGCTGTTTTGTTGACTGTGATCTCCTATGACCTCATTTGTGTTGTTTGTTTCAGAGGGACTTCAAGGCTGTTGCTGTGTGTTCTCCGTCTGGGCATTCAGTTTCTGACCAAGCCATGGGCCCTGCGGGGCATGCTTCTGGCAGTGTTGATCATTGTTCTGCTACACAGTCTGGTGCCCTTGATGTTTGGACCAGTGGTGGTGGCGGTGCTACACTCTGGCTTCCCTGTGGTTGTGGCGTCAGAGGACACCTATCCCAACATTCTAGGCAGGGATGTCAGTGATATGATCTCTTCTGAGCTGCATCAGGATGTTGCTACGAGGTAGGTGGTCATTGTGCTGTGTGGTCATCTAGCTGGTCAGTGTTGTGGGATCATGTAGCTGGTCAGTGCTGTGTGGTCATCTAGCTGGTCAGTGTTGTGTGATCATGTAGCTGGTCAGTGCTGTGTAGACATGCAGCTGGTCAGTGCTGTGTGGTCATGTAGCTGGTCAGTGTTGTGTGGTCATCTAGCTGGTCAGTGTTGTGTGATCATGTAGCTGGTCAGTGCTGTGGAGACATGCAGCTGGTCAGTGTTGTGTGATCATGTAGCTGGTCAGTGTTGTGTGATCATGTGGCTGGTCAGTGCTGTGTGATCATGTAGCTGGTCAGTGCTGTGTGGTCATGTAGCTGGTCAGTGTTATATGATCATGTAGCTGGTCAGTGTTGTGTGATCATGTAGCTGGTGAGTGTTGTGTGGTCATGTAGCTGGTCAGTGCTGTGTGATCATGTAGCTGGTCAGTGTTGTGTGATCATGTAGCTGGTGAGTGTTGTGTGGTCATGTAGCTGGTCAGTGCTGTGTGATCATGTAGCTGGTCAGTGTTGTGTGGTCATGTAGCTGGTCAGTGCTGTGTGGTCATGTAGCTGGTCAGTGCTGTGTGATCATCTAGCTGGTCAGTGATATGTGGTCATTTAGCTGGTCAGTGTTTTGTGGACATGTAGCTGGTTGCTAGGTTGTTGCCTTGATGATGTGTTGTTGTTCTGTTGCAGATTTAGACATCGCTAGGTTGTTGCCTTGGTGATGTGCTGTGTGATCATGTAGCTGGTCAGTGCTGTGTGATCATGTAGCTGGTCATTGTTGTGTGGTCATGTAGCTGGTCAGTGCTGTGTGATCATGTAGCTGGTCAGTGTTGTGTGATCATGTAGCTGGTCAGTGCTGTGTGGTCATGTAGCTGGTCAGTGCTGTGTGATCATGTAGCTGGTCAGTGTTGTGTGGTCATGTAGCTGGTCAGTGTTGTGTGGTAATCTAGCTGGTCAGTGTTGTATGGTAATCTAGCTGGTCAGTGTTGTGTGGTCATCTAGGTGGTCAGTGTTGTGTGGTCATCTAGGTGGTCAGTGTTGTGTGGTCATGTAGCTGGTCAGTGTTATGTGATCATGTAGCTGGTCAGTGTTGTGTGGACATGTAGTTGGTCAGTGCTGTGTGGTCATGTAGCTGGTCAGTGTTGTGTGGTCATGCAGCTGGTCAGTGCTGTGTGGTCATCTAGCTGGTCAGTGCTGTGTGGTCATGTAACTGGTCAGTGTTGTGTGGTCATCTAGGTGGTCAGTGTTGTGTGGACATGCAGCTGGTCAGTGCTGTGTGGTCATCTAGCTGGTCAGTGCTGTGTGGTCATGTAACTGGTCAGTGTTGTGTGGTCATCTAGGTGGTCAGTGTTGTGTGATCATGTAGCTGGTCAGTGCTGTGTGGACATGCAGCTGGTCAGTGCTGTGGTCAAGTAGCTGGTCAGTGTTGTGTGATCATCTAGCTGGTCAGTGATATGTGGTCATTTAGCTGGTCAGTGTTTTGTGGACATGTAGCTGGTTGCTAGGTTGTTGCCTTGATGATGTGTTGTTGTTCTGTTGCAGATTTAGACATCGCTAGGTTGTTGCCTTGGTGATGTGTTGTTGTTCTGTTGCAGGTTCAGACTTCACTAGGCTGTTGCCTTGATAATGTTGTTTGTGTGTGTGTGTGTGTGTGGTAGGAAGGTTCTCTGTGATAAAGTGGTCAAGCCGTTTGCCTCGCTCTTTAAATGCTATGGTTTCAATTTTAGGGCGACGCCGGTCAGTTCATGAGTGCAGTTTTAACAGAGATCCCTGGGCATTGTCACTGGAGCTACTGAGGTCGTGCTCTATGTGATGCTCTCGGCAGGCAGCTAGCTGTTCTACAGAGAGAGACTGAGCCATGTGGGATGTAGCGTGGTGCAAAGAAGTCTATAATCTCACTCTACGTTAGCATCTGTTTTGTTGCAGGTTTAGACACCACCAGGGCGGCCAGCAGAAGAACCCAATGAAACTGCTCAGTGTTGCCCAGCGCCAGCCCGATTGTCTGGCCATGATCAAGGGCAACAGGGAGGAGATTGAATATTCACTGAAGGTTTGTGAGTCAAGGAGGGCGGTGGGGGGTGCAGATTGTGAGTCAGGGGAGGGGGAGAATCATAGAGCAAGAAAGTGATTGTGTGTGGACTTGAGGTAGAGTTAAGGAATATGGACAGAAGATTTCAATGGAGCTGTGTGTATGTATGTATGTATGTGGGGGGGGGGGGGGGGGGGGGGGGGGGTGGGGTCCTTTAGCAAGAAAGTGATTATGTGTAGGCTTATGGTATAATAAATGTGAAGGGACAGAAGCTTTCAGTGAAAGAGCAGTGTGTACACACAGGCAAGCAGTGGAATGGGAAGCCAGAGTGCAAGTTGCTGGACACAAATATTTGAGAGCTGCTCAAGACAAAGGATTGCTGTGTTGCTAGAACTAGCTAATAGATATACATAACATAACCCTTGAGTTGCTAGGGCCATGGAGGTGTATGGATGGAAGCCTTGGAGGTGTATGGATGGAAGCCTTGGAGGTGTATGGATGGAAGCCTTGGAGGTGTATGTATGGAAGCCTTGGAGGTGTATGTATGGAAGCCTTGGAGGTGTATGTATGGAAGCCTTGGAGGTGTATGTATGGAAGCCTTGGAGGTGTATGGATGGAAGCCTTGGAGGTGTATGTATGGAAGCCTTGGAGGTGTATGAATGGAAGCCTTGGAGGTGTATAGATGGAAGCCTTGGAGGTGTATGTATGGAAGCCTTGGAGGTGTATGAATGGAAGCCTTGGAGGTGTATGGATGGAAACCTTGGAGGTGTATGGATGGAAGCCTTGGAGGTGTATGTATGGAAGCCTTGGAGGTGTATGGATGGAAGCCTTGGGGGTGTATGGATGGAAGCCTTGGAGGTGTATGGATGGAAGCCTTGGGGGTGAATCGATGGAAGCACTAGCACACAAACCTTGCCATCTTTCTCTGTCTCGTTGAAAAACTGTATAATAATTTTGCCCTGTCCATTTCTTGATATTGTAATTCCAGAGACATTTAGAGGCAGGTAGAGACCATTAGAAAATTATTGATAGAGACAGAGAGGGAGGGAAAATATAGACATTTAAAGGGGGAAGAGACAATTAGAGAGAGAAAGAGAGAGACAGAATTAGAGATATATTGGAGGATAATTACAGGAGAGAGAATAGGGGGATAAAGAGGGTCTGGGGGTAAATAAATCAAGACAAACTGGAGAAGGGCCTTTTTGAAAGGCCAAAGTTACTAAAGTGCAATTATGACAATCTCCGCCTAATTATATTTGTAGGACTGTTATTTGTGGTTTTACAATTTTCTAAAGGCAAACGTGTGAGAATGTAGTGAGGGAGAGTGCAAAAGAGGGTCTGTCCTTGAAAATAAAGAAAACGGAGGTAATGGTTGTATCAAATAAAAGAATACCACCACAGTGTGATATTAGAAAAGAAGGCGAAAAGGTTAATCCAGGTGGATACATTCAATTATCGGGGTACAATCATAACATCAGACAGGAGTGTGGCAGAAATAAAGAGCTGAATAGGCCAGGCTAAGGCTGCATTTCACAGAATGAATAACACCTTGTGCAACAAACAAGTCCCTTTCTTTGGATGTCTGAAAGAGAGTACTAAAATGTTACATAGAACCTATATTGCTGAGTGGTAGTGAATTATGGAATATGAATGCACAAATTAGAAAGAAGTTTGAGGTTTAAACAACGGATCAACATCATGGCACACGGGTAGCAACCCATAACTGCTCTGCTCTACTTCTAACTCAAATCCAACGAAGCTCAGCACAGTGCACAGGCTCTGTAGCACCGACGAGGATCCTGAAATACTTTATGTAGGTTTTTAAACTCACAGTTTTGCCCGGACAGCGCCGATAGGTTACTCTTTTCAACTTCCAACTGCCAAGGGATATTTTTCATGTGCAGCAATACACACTGGCGTCTGGTCTGACTACCCAGAGATCAGGGGGAATTACCAGAAATTCAAGTCCACGTGAACAAATCCCAGCCCTACAAGAGATTTAATCCGGAACCTCTAGCACTCGAGGTGGACACCATGCCCTGAGACCACGCAGCACTTTGAGGCAATGAAGATATGGTTTTTCAGACGTATGTTAAGAATCCCTTGGACTGCCAGAGTAACTAACAAGGCACAGATGAACGCAGAAGAAAAAAGATATCCAGAGTATTAACCCTTGATGTGAAAATGTGTGTGTATTTTATTTCCCGCCATATGTTTCTTTGACCTGAGAGAAAAGCAAAGGAAGGTAACACTTGAACCTACTATGTATGTCATAGGAGGTCACTGTAGGTAAGCAAAGCGTTGGCATGAGATGGTTGAGGGCCTATGCTCCATTGGAGGAAGAAAAGACATCAGAAGAAGATGTTATCTCTGTCTCTTGCAGTACATGGAGGAGAATAAGCCGCTGAGGATGCCGCTGTCTGTGTTGTCCAGAGCTGGCTCCAACTGTGAGGACTTTATTAGGTCCAGAGGCTACATCACACACTCACTGCCGGAGGAGACAGCATTCCCTATAGCATACTCGTAAGTATTGTTTTGAATACCTTCAGTAGTGTCCTCCTAAGACTTGTTTGAGAAAAGATAAAGGTAAAGTCGAGAGATATGAACCAGCGTCATTGCACACAGTTATAAATCATAAGTGCTCTGCCACCAGTGTGGACAGCTGACAAGAAACTGTCCACCTGTGTTGCCGTCTGCACGTAACTCCATAGCTACAGTGACGTTCCTCCATTCACCCCTAGAGGCTGGGTGAACCCCGGGAACCGCCCAGTTTCGAACACCGACCATGCCTGCAGCTAGTCGCAGCTGGATTTGAAAGTGAGCCTCTTATCGACTGCGCTAACGCGGCTCTTTGAGTACCCAAAGTAGTGTACTTGTAAGTGTTGTTTGAGTACCCACAGTAGTGTACTCGTGAGCGTTGTTTGAGTACCCACAGTAGTGTACTCGTAAGGGTTGTTTGAGTACCCACAGTAGTGTTCTCGTGAGCGTTGTTTGAGTACCCACAGTAGTAAGTGTTGTTTGAGTACCCACAGTAGTGTACTCGTAAGGGTTGTTTGAGTACCCACAGTAGTGAACTCATAAGTGTTGTTTGAGTACCCACAGTAGTGTACTCATGAGCGTTGTTTGAGTACCCACAGTAGTGTACTCATGAGCGTTGTTTGAGTACCCACAGTAGTGAACTCATAAATGTTGTTTGAGTACCCACAGTAGTGAACTCATAAGTGTTGTTTGAGTACCCACAGTAGTGAACTCCTAAGTGTTTGTTTGAGTACCCACAGTAGTGAACTCATAAGTGTTGTTTGAGTACCCACAGTAGTGTACTCGTAAGGGTTGTTTGAGTACCCACAGTAGTGAACTCATAAGTGTTGTTTGAGTACCCACAGTAGTGAACTCATAAATGTTGTTTGAGTACCCACAGTAGTGTACTCATAAGTGTTGTTTGAGTACCCACAGTAGTGAACTCATAAATGTTGTTTGAGTACCCACAGTAGTGTACTCATAAATGTTGTTTGAGTACCCACAGTAGTGTACTCCTAAGTGTTTGTTTGAGTACCCACAGTTGTGTACTCCTAAGTGTTTGTTTGAGTACCCACAGTAGTGAACTCATAAGTGTTGTTTGAGTACCCACAGTAGTGAACTCATAAATGTTGTTTGAGTACCCACAGTAGTGTACTCATAAATGTTGTTTGAGTACCCACAGTAGTGAACTCATAAGTGTTGTTTGAGTACCCACAGTAGTGAACTCATAAATGTTGTTTGAGTACCCACAGTAGTGTACTCATAAGTGTTGTTTGAGTACCCACAGTAGTGTACTCATAAGTGTTGTTTGAGTACCCACAGTAGTGTACTCATAAATGTTGTTTGAGTACCCACAGTAGTGTACTCCTAAGTGTTTGTTTGAGTACCCACAGTTGTGTACTTATAAGTGTTGTCTGAGTACCCACAGTAGTGTATTCCTAAGTGTTGTTTTGAGTACCCACAGTAGCAGTGTATGTCCATTTTTTAAATACAATCACTTTTATACGGTGTGTAAATTTTAATTACTCTAAGTTAGGTGGCGTCCAAAATATTAAACAAGGTGCTGGATTGAAATATTTACAAGCAAGTTAAAACTAGCAGAAAATGAGAAAACAGCCAGCAGAAAATTTTTCAAAGTAGTTAAAAATATGTGGAAAAGAGATGAGAGCTACAACCCCACTGAAATAATTAATGATAAGACAGGAAGGCCATTGATAGATCCACCCGAGATAGCAGAAAGATGGAGGGAATACTTCAATGAGCTCTTTAATCCTCTAGGAGATCATCAGGAAAGAACAACTGAAGAGCACAGAGCAACAGTGTTAGAAGCACACATACTAATGGATGAAATAGAAAAAGTCATTAAACAGTCTCCCAAATATAAAGCACCAGGAGCTGATAGATTACCAACAGAAATAATTCAAGCAGCAGGTGAAAGCAGCTAAAGATGGCTTCACAGAATATTCAATGCAGCATGGGTTCAACAAACGGCCCCTATTGATTGGCAACATGCAATAGTTATACCATTGTGGAAGAACAAAGGAAGCAAACGAGAATGCGGTCAATATCGAGGCATCTCTCTTTTAAGCCATGTTGGCAAAATGTATGCCAAGATAATAGAAACAAGACTGAGACCAGTGATAGAACCACAGCTGGCAGAAGAACAGATGGGATTTAGGAGAAATAGAAGCTGCACAGATGCAATCTTCACACTTAAACAGTTAATAGAAAAGAACATTGAATACAATAAGAACTTATTTGTGGCATTGGTAGACCAGGAGAAGGCATTTGACAGAGTCGACAGACAATTATTATGGAAAATAATGGCAAGATATGGAGTAAGCGAACACCTCATCGAAGTGTGCAAAAGTTTATACAGGGATTGTAGAAGTGTAGTTAGAATAAATCAGGGAACATCTCATCCTTTCACAGTGACATCTGGAGTAAGACAGGGGTGTGTCTTATCACCACTGCTGTTTAATACCTACATCGACAGTATATGCAAGAATGCCAAGTCCATGAATAAAGATCTTAGTAAGATCAACGAATTACTCTTTGCAGATGACCAGGCCTTGATAGCAGATACAGCCATGAAATTGCAACAACATCTAACATCCATGAATGAAGAATGTAAAACAAAAAATATGAGAATCAACACTGAAAAGACAGAAGTAATGTCAATAGGAAAAAAGAAGACAGATCTAAACATAGCAATAGAATACAAAGGCATTAAACAGGCATCTGAGTTTAAATATCTGGGAACTACATTTACCGAAGATGGGAAATTGGATAAAGAAATTGACATTATATGCAGTAAAGCAAACCAAGTATTGGGACAGCTAGCACCCCTCTTACAGCATAAGAAAATCCCAATCAGCACAAAGAGACATCTTATTCAAAGCATATTTATTCCAACTCTGTGCTACCAGTGCCAGACATGGTCACTCACAACAAACCATAAAAGAAAATTAGTAACCACTGAAATGAGATGTCTGAGAAGGGCTGTAGGAGTGACCATGAGAGATAAGATCAGGAATGAGATCATAAGAGAACAAGTCGGCACAGAACCAATTCTGGATTACATACAAAGACAGCAAGTGAAATGGTTTGCCCACTTAGAGAGAATGCCTTGTGACACCATACCATACAAAGCATACATGGAAAGAGAAGAAGGATGTAGAGCACGGGGTAGACCTAGAACAAGATGGAAGGATAACATCAGAGAAACTCTACAACAGCACGATGTGCCTATGGTCGAGGCAGCCAGAAGAGCTAGAAACAGAACCTTATATCTCCCTCGACACCCACAGCGGTAAAAGAGGAAGTGAAGAAGAAGAAGTTAAAACTGCAGTAAAAGTGGAATGCACTTTGGCTATGTTGTTAAGCCATTTGCTTCATGGTCTAAAGGTGAAGGCTCTCTGGGAATCAATGCTAGAGCTGTGGAGATTGTGCTTTGTGCATTGTTGTCGACAGGTGGTAAGTCATTGTGCAAAGAGATAAAACCAGGTGCGGGTAAAACAAAGTGCAATAAAGTTTCTGGTGATCATTTATATGTGTTAATTAGGCCCGCTTTGCATCACACTTATGTTAGAAATGTATATAGTTAGGTCTCACCACCCTGATTGTAATGATATATGGTTGCTAGAGGATTTTAAAACACTTACAGGTATTTTATCATGTGTACCAAAACACTTACAATTATTCTGTCATGGGTACTAAAACACTTACAGGTATGGAATAGGACAGACTAAACAAGACTCCACCGCAGGCTAGAGTATTAGAAACTAATACAGTGCTGTATGTGAATCAGTATGTACAGGACACATGATCAACCCTGACAGTTGTTTAGGCAAATCAAACTCGGAGAGTTGAAGGTTCTTTTCCACTAGGGGCTCGGACCAGTCTACCAAGGCCTGTCCCCCACCTCATTTCATTGTGTCCACAGCCAGCTCAAAAATCTTTCTGCAGCTTCACCCAGTTATTTAAGCACCTGTTTACACTTTTACCCTTGCAAGCCCAGCTGCTTGAGTACCTTGTGTGTGGAGATTAGCCCTCTTGCACCTACCTCGACGGCGAAGAGTTTTACTGAGTATCCCTCATCGCTCCTGAGGGAAGTGAGGCTGTTATTTCAGCAAAATTGCATGGGAGAACTTAACTATTTCATCAGCAGTGTCACTTTATGTGATTTGAGCCTGTTCTTTGTTTTAGAATCATGATGTACCGAGACGCAGACCAAGCAGAGAGGCTGCTGAGAGCCATCTACCGGCCACACAACTACTACTGCATCCACGTGGATGCCAAGTCTGACCAGAAGATCCATGTTGCCATGAAAGCCATTGCTGGATGTTTGCCGAATGTCTTTCTCTGCTCTAAACAGAACATTGTCGACTGGGCAAAGTTTAAGTAAGCTTTTAATGATTCTTATGCTTCTGATTCTCATATTCTTACTTGTTGGGCCAGCGTGCCGGTGTTTATATCTTTCAGTTTGTCTGCCTGCCTGTCTTTAATCTGTCTGTCTTCACTCAGGATAGATATAGACTTATTTTTTATTGATTATAATTAATTTTGTTTGCAGTGTAATTGCACATTTAATTCACTACTTGGCTGTATACCTTATTTTTATTTGTTATAGATCATTAGCAATGATGAACAATGTTGAGGGATTTTTTTTACCTTTACAGTCCCACATACAGCATTCTAAGTGAGAAGCACTCCTCGGTCAGATCCGAGCCTGTGACTTGGAGTGATTGCCCCTGCGCTTTATTGATTTTAATTGCAAATGCATGTCGAACACACACAAAAGGCAAGAGTAATGTTAAAAATGGAAAGTTGAAAGTAGTTGACCTAAAAATCACAACCAGTATGGACATATGCAAATGTCACGTTGCTACTTTTCACCGTCTGGCAGTAGTTTTTGTGACAGAGACATGGATGTGTGATATGGTATATATATTGTTTAGGATGTCTGCACAAAACAAATGAGGACTTTGAAATCTGCAACCACGACTGGAAAAAAAACAGCAAGTCAAAAATGATGACACCAGATAAGAGCACTCTGCGGGAGGCTGAATCTAATAATAAACCTCTAAGAACTGGGGTAGTTAGCTGCTACAGGTTGTAGAGTTGAATGAGGAGGGGATCTGGGCAGTTATGGACCGAGTAGTTCAATGTGCAGTGAGCAGAATCTTTTGGCTGTCATTTAAAGAGCCTTATGAATTATTGTAGGCAGTTGTTAAAATGGTGCAGTTGCAAGTTCACCAGCCTGCCAGCCTGTTGGTCATGAGTTGGAAAAGGTGCAATACTTTTTATTGACTTTTTAAGTTTCCTAATTCATCAAGCTAGTAATAGACACTTGTGTAATGTTCGATGATCATCCAATAACAGACTAACCATGTTGTGTGGTGCCCAGTGGTAATCCACTAACATAGACTGACCATGTTCTATTGTGTCCAATGGCTGACACTAACATAGACTGACCATGTTGTGTGGTGTCCAGTGGCAATCCACTAACATAGACTGACTATGTTGTGTGATGTCCAATAATCATACACTAACACAGACTGACCATGTTGTGTGATGTCCAGTGGTCATCCACTAGAACAGACTGACCATGTTGTGTCCAGTGGTCATCCACTAACACAGACTGACCATGTTGTGTCCAGTGGTCATTCACTAACACAGACTGACTATGTTGCCCACAGCTCTCTAGAGCCATGGCTCTACTGCATGCAGGATCTGTGGAAGTTCTCCTGGAGGTACTTCATCAACCTGACTGGGCAGGAGTTCCCTTTGAAGACCAACCTACAGCTGGTTCGAATCCTCAAGGCTCTCAACGGGGCCAATGTTGTGGATGCTACAACATCTGTGTAAGTTTCCTCAGACTGTTGTTGTGTGTCCATCGGTCTGTCGGCCGTCCTGCTAGCTAGCATTCTATCTGTTGCACTTTATTGCTGTCTGTCTGATGTTTGTCTACCTTCTTTGTGTCTTGTCTACTTTTCTGGTTGTCTCTACTTTCCTGTCTGTCTGTTTCCCTGCTAGTCTGTCTGCCAGTTTGCCTTTATCATTTCTGCCTGCCCATTTTAGATTACATCTTGTACTTCTGTCTATTGATCTATGTGTCCATATCTGCCTGTTGCACAGCATGTCTACATCTGTCTATTGTGCAGTGTGTCTGCATGTCAATTGTACTGTGTGTCTGCATGTCTATTGTACTGTGTGTCTGCATGTCAATTGTACTGTGTGTCTGCATGTCTATTGTACTGTGTGTCTGCATGTCACTTGTACTGTGTGTCTGCATGTCTATTTTACTGTGTGTCTGCATGTCTATTTTACTGTGTGTCTGCATGTCACTTGTACTGTGTGTCTGCATGTCTATTTTACTGTGTGTCTGCATGTCACTTGTACTGTGTGTCTGCATGTCTATTGTACTGTGTGTCTGCATATCTATTGTACTGTGTGTCTGCATGTCTATTGTACTGTGTGTCTGCATGTCAATTGTACTGTGTGTCTGCATGTCAATTGTACTGTGTGTCTGCATGTCTATTTTACTGTGTGTCTGCATGTCACTTGTACTGTGTGTCTGCATGTCTATTGTACTGTGTGTCTGCATGTCTTTTGTATGTACTGTGTGTCTGCATGTCTATTGTACTGTGTGTCTGCATGTCTATTGTGCTGTGTGTCTGCATGTCACTTGTACTGTGTGTCTGCATGTCTATTGTACTGTGTGTCTGCATGTCTATTGTACTGTGTGTCTGCATGTCTATTGTACTGTGTGTCTGCATGTCACTTGTACTGTGTGTCTGCATGTCAATTGTACTGTGTGTCTGCATGTCTATTGTACTGTGTGTCTGCATATCTATTGTACTGTGTGTCTGCATGTCTATTGTACTGTGTGTCTGCATGTCTATTGTACTGTGTATCTGCATGTCTATTGTACTGTGTGTCTGCATGTCTATTGTACTGTGTATCTGCATGTCTTTTGTACAAAGTGTCCCTACGTCTGTCTGCCCTTGATCAACTTCCTTATTGCCTTATTCTTCCCTCTGTGTTAATAACCAGCTCTGAAGTGTTTCATTGTGTTGATTTGTTGGCTGCCCGCCAGGTTCTGATTGTTGACATCAGACATCTCAAACTGTGGGAGTTGAGCCATCACCGGCTTTTTCGTACATTTTTCTGTGTGAACTTTTTATTCAGTGTTTTTGTACGGAGTATCACACGATTTAATCCCCTAGAATCACCTTTTTTAATCTCCCTAATCCTATCAATTTAGGTGTTCTCTGTATTTTCAGGTTTTGTGTTTCCCTTTAATCCTGTTATTTTAGGTGTTCTCTATGTTGTCAGGTGTTGTGTTTCCCTTTAATCCTGTTATGTTAGGTGTTCTCTATGTTGTCAGGTGTTGTGTTTCCCTTTAATCCTGTTATGTTAGGTGTTCTCTATGTTGTCAGATGTTGTGTTTCCCTTTAATCCTGTTATTCTAGGTGTTCTCTATGTTGTCAGGTGTTGTGTTTCCCTTTAATCCTGTTATGTTAGGTGTTCTCTATGTTGTCAGGTGTTGTGTTTCCCTTTAATCCTGTTATTTTAGGTGTTCTCTATGTTGTCAGGTGTTGTGTTTTCCTTTAATCCTGTTATGTTAGGTGTTCTCTATGTTGTCAGGTGTTGTGTTTTCCTTTAATCCTGTTATGTTAGATGTTCTCTATGTTGTCAGGTGTTGTTTTTTCCTTTAATCCTGTTATGTTAGGTGTTCTCTATGTTGTCAGGTGTTGTGTTTTCCTTTAATCCTGTTATGTTAGATGTTCTCTATGTTGTCAGGTGTTGTGTTTCCCTTTAATCCTGTTATGTTAGGTGTTCTCTATGTTGTCAGGTGTTATGTTTCCCTTTAATCCTGTTATGTTAGGTGTTCTCTTTGTTGTCAGGTGTTGTTTTCCTTTAATCCTGTTATGTTAGGTGTTCTCTATGTTGTCAGGTGTTGTGTTTCCCTATAATCCTGTTATGTTAGGTGTTCTCTATGTTGTCAGGTGTTATGTTTCCCTTTAATCCTGTTATTTTAGGTGTTCTCTATGTTGTCAGGTGTTGTTTTCTTTTAATCCTGTTATGTTAGGTGTTCTCTTTGTTGTCAGGTGTTGTGTTTTCCCTTAATCCTGTTATGTTAGGTGTTCTCAATGTTGTCATGTGTTGTTTTTCCCTTTAATCCTGTTATGTTAGGTGTTCTCAATGTTGTCAGGTGTTGTTTTTCCCTTTAATCCTGTTATGTTAGGTGTTCTCTATGTTGTCAGGTGTTGTGTTTCCCTTTAATCCTGTTATGTTAGGTGTTCTCTATGTTGTCAGGTGTTGTGTTTCCCTTGAATCCTGTTATTTTAGGTGTTCTCTATGTTGTCAGGTGTTGTGTTTCCCTTTAATCCTTTTATTTTAAGTGTTCTCTATGTTGTCAGGTGTTGTGTTTCCCTTTAATCCTGTTATTTTAGGTGTTCTCTATGTTGTCAGGTGCGATGACTTTCTTTTATCTTCTATCTGGCTCGCATCATCGCACGCTTGCTATCTCACATACCGACATCACACGACGAGCAGAAAAATGGACGACTGTAAAAACAACACGATACTGTTCAGCACTTTAATCTTCTACTCGCGGCCTCCTCAGCCGGCACATGAAATAGACTACTGTCCAGGCACACATTATAACTCAAATATCAAAAGTGTCAATATTACCTTCTATCCGAAATCGCAATCGTCCTACACTAGCATCATGAACGAAAACACAACAGCTGTCCTGACAGAAAAACTAACACGGCCCGCAGACATATTGCCCACCGGCTTGTTTGGCCAGGTTGGACGTTGGAAGAACAAAAACACCCAAACACATGTTGAATCCACACATCATCCACCGTTGTCCATGCACTCTGTTCCTGGGCCAAAACGAGACTGCCCCTCAGCCCTTTCTACGGTATTATATAGCCTTCTAATGCCCCGCTTCGTTTTCCCGAATACTCCGTGTCCCTTCAGTCTCAAGGATTCCATTTAGCCCGTGATTCATCGTACTTCACATTTTTCTACACGTGAATAATTATACTTCACGCAAAGTTTGACTATCATCATTTCTTTATAATTCCCGTGAAGTTTAGACTCAACAATTCCCGTGTCGTTCCAGTTAGAGTCAAAATATTCTACTCACATTTATTACTGACGTCATCTGTCGGGCATAAATTAACTGGGAGAAAATGAAACTCACTACATCAGGTGTTGTGTTTTCCTTTAATCCTTTTATTTTAGATGTTCTCTTTGTTCTTGTCAGGTGTTGTGTTTTCCTTTAATCCTTTTATTTTAGATGTTCTCTTTGTTCTTGTCAGGTGTTGTGCTTTCCTTTAATCCTTTTATTTTAGATGTTCTCTTTGTTCTTGTCAGGTGTTGTGTTTTCCTTTAATCCTTTTATTTTAGATGTTCTCTTTGTTGTTGTCAGGTGTTGTGTTTTCCTTTAATCCTTTTATTTTAGATGTTCTCTTTGTTGTTGTCAGGTGTTGTGTTTTCCTTTAATCCTTTTATGTTAGGTGTTCTCTATGTTGTCAGGTGTTGTGTTTTCCTTTAATCCTTTTATGTTAGGTGTTCTCTATGTTGTCAGGTGTTGTGTTTCCCTTTAATCCTGTTATGTTAGGTGTTCTCTATGTTGTCAGGTGTTGGGTTTCCCTTTAATCCTGTTATGTTAGGTGTTCTCTATGTTGTCAGGTGTTGTGTTTCCCTTTAATCCTTTTATGTTAGGTGTTCTCTATGTTGTCAGGTGTTGTGTTTCCCTTTAATCCTTTTATGTTAGGTGTTCTCTATGTTGTCAGGTGTTGTGTTTTCCTTTAATCCTGTTATGTTAGGTGTTCTCTATGTTGTCAGGTGTTGTGTTTCCCTTTAATCCTGTTATGTTAGGTGTTCTCTATGTTGTCAGGTGTTGTGTTTCCCTTTAATCCTGTTATGTTAGGTGTTCTCTATGTTGTCAGGTGTTATGTTTCCCTTTAATCCTGTTATGTTAGGTGTTCTCTATGTTGTCAGGTGTTGTGTTTTCCTTTAATCCTGTTATGTTAGGTGTTCTCTATGTTGTCAGGTGTTGTGTTTTCCTTTAATCCTGTTATGTTAGGTGTTCTCTATGTTGTCAGGTGTTGTGTTTCCCTTTAATCCTGTTATGTTAGGTGTTCTCTATGTTGTCAGGTGTTGTGTTTCCCTTTAATCCTGTTATGTTAGGTGTTCTCTATGTTGTCAGGTGTTGTGTTTCCCTTTAATCCTGTTATTTTAGGTGTTCTCTATGTTGTCAGGTGTTGTGTTTTCCTTTAATCCTGTTATGTTAGGTGTTCTCTATGTTGTCAGGTGTTGTGTTTCCCTTTAATCCTGTTATGTTAGGTGTTCTCTATGTTGTCAGGTGTTGTGTTTTCCTTTAATCCTGTTATGTTAGGTGTTCTCTATGTTGTCAGGTGTTGTTTTCTTTTAATCCTGTTATGTTAGGTGTTCTCTATGTTGTCAGGTGTTGTTTTCCTTTAATCCTGTTATGTTAGGTGTTCTCTTTGTTGTTGTCAGGTGTTGTTTTTTCCTTTAATCCTGTTATGTTAGGTGTTCTCTTTGTTGTTGTCAGGTGTTGTTTTTTCCTTTAATCCTGTTATGTTAGGTGTTCTCTTTGTTGTTGTCAGGTGTTGTGTTTCCCTTTAATCCTGTTATGTTAGGTGTTCTCTATGTTGTTGTCAGGTGTTGGGTTTTCCTTTAATCCTGTTATGTTAGGTGTTCTCTTTGTTGTTGTCAGGTGTTGTTTTTTCCTTTAATCCTGTTATGTTAGGTGTTCTCTTTGTTGTTGTCAGGTGTTGTGTTTCCCTTTAATCCTGTTATGTTAGGTGTTCTCTATGTTGTTGTCAGGTGTTGGGTTTTCCTTTAATCCTGTTATGTTAGGTGTTCTCTTTGTTGTTGTCAGGTGTTGTGTTTTCCTTTAATCCTGTTATGTTAGGTGTTCTCTATGTTGTCAGGTGTTGTGTTTTCCTTTAATCCTGTTATGTTAGGTGTTCTCTTTGTTGTTGTCAGTTGTTGGGTTTTCCTTTAATCCTGTTATGTTAGGTGTTCTCTATGTTGTCAGGTGTTGTGTTTTCCTTTAATCCTGTTATGTTAGGTGTTCTCTATGTTGTCAGGTGTTGTGTTTCCCTTTAATCCTGTTATGTTAGGTGTTCTCTATGTTGTCAGGTGTTGTGTTTTCCTTTAATCCTGTTATGTTAGGTGTTCTCTATGTTGTCAGGTGTTGTGTTTCCCTTTAATCCTGTTATGTTAGGTGTTCTCTATGTTGTCAGGTGTTGTGTTTCCCTTTAATCCTGTTATGTTAGGTGTTCTCTATGTTGTCAGGTGTTGTGTTTCCCTGCTCTTGTAGAACACTGTTTGTGTACGGGGCAGAAACCTGATACCATAAAACACGAACTACAACAAGACCCCAGTCATAGCACAGAAGGGTCGTACACTTTTGGTTAACCTGATACCAGACTTCTGCTTTTTGTCCCTGCTGTGTGGCATTGGTAGTCATGTCCATGTCTACAACCTTCTGTCTCGTATATTTGCAGTCATTTCTGACACAGATGATCTTCACTTTGTAATGTCAAGCTTATGCTAAGCCCCCAAGAAGAAGAAGAACAAGAAGGCTTATTCCTATCTCAAAAGAAGAGGAGGCTTATTCCAAGCCCACAGAAGAAGAAGAAGAAGTAGGCTTTATTCTGATCCCATAGAAGAAGGAGGCTTTATTCCAAGCCGACAAGAAGAAGGCTTGATTCCAAGCCCACAGAAAAAGAAGGCTTTATTCCAAGTCGACAGAAGAATAAGGCTTTATTCCAAGCCCACAGAAAAAGAGGGCTTTATTCCAAGTCGACAGAAGAATAATGCTTTATTCCAAGCCCACAGAAAAAGAAGGCTTTATTCAAAGCCTACCGAAGAAGAAGAAGGTAAAAAGGTAAAGTCGGGAGATGTGCACCAGCGTCATTGCACACGGTTATAAACCATAAGTGATCTGCCACTAGTATGGACAGCTGATAAGAAACTGTCCGCCTGTATCATTGTCCGCACGTAACTCTATAGCTACAGCGGCGTTCCTCCATTTACCCCAGAGTGTCAACTCTAGTGCCCATTTCCTAAAGACTGGGTGAACGCCGTGGGCTGCAGAGAGTCGCAGCTGGATTTGAAAGCTAGTCTCCTATCGACTGTGCTAACGCGGCCACCAGAAGAAAAAGAAGAGTGATTATTTCAAGCTCCCAGAAGAAGAAGAAGAAGACTTTATTCCAAGTCCACAAGAATAAAAAGGAGGCGTTTTTCTAAGCCCACAGAAGATGAAGGCTTTATTCCATGTCCACAGGAAGAAGAATAAGAAGGCTTTATTCCCACAAGAAGAAGAAGAAATTTTATTCCAGGCCCACAAAAGAAAGCTTATTCCAAGCCCACAAAAGAAAGCTTATTCCAAGCCCACAAAAGAAAGCTTATTCCAAGCCCACAAAAGAAAGCTTATTCCAAGCCCACAAGAAGAAGAAGAAAGTTTATTCCAAGCCCACAAAAGAAAGCTTATTTCAAGCCCACAAGAAGAAGAAGAAGGCTTATTCCAAGCCCATGAGAAAAATTAAGCTCATTCAAGGCCCACAGAAAGAAAAAGGCTTATTAAACACACACACACAAACTTATGCCGATGACATTCATATGTAAAGCTATGTCAGTTTTATCACTCTCTTTGTCTGTTTGTTAGATTATACTCCATGAGATGGTACGAAAACTTCCCGCCTCCGTTCAACATCAAACCCGTGAAAGGTTTGGTCTTCATGCTGGCCAGCCGCGCATTTGTCGACTACATGCTCCACAACCCTGTGGCCAGGGACTTCCTCCAGTGGGTGAGCAGGACGGACTTTCCTGACGAGACGTTCTTCTCTACGTTGAACCATAATCCACATCTGGGGATTCCCGGCTCTTATAAAGGTGGGTCAGAGATGTTATGTCCAGGTATTCGGCTCAGTACCTGTTGTGTCTTGTCATGACAGGTGTTTTAGTTGACAGACTGGTCAATCATACCTTGTGGGGTAATTGGGTACCAAGACTGGGATACCTTGTCAGGTAATCGTGTGAGGTGATGGATTATATACACTGGTGTGTTATTGGAAATAATGGAGTACCGAGACTGATGTATTGGAAATACTGGAGTACCGAGACTGATGTATTGGAAATAATGGAGTATCGAGACCGATGTATTGGAAATACTGGAGTACCAAGACTGATGTATTGGAAATACTGGAGTACCAAGACTGATGTATTGGAAATACTGGAGTACCAAGACTGATGTGTTGGAAATAATGGAGTATCGAGACCGATGTATTGGAAATACTGGAGTACCAAGACTGATGTGTTGGAAATACTGGAGTACCAAGACTGATGTGTTGGAAATAATGGAGTATCGAGACTGATGTGTTGGAAATACTGGAGTACCGAGACTGATGTATTGGAAATACTGGAGTACCGAGACTGATGTGTTGGAAATAATGAAGTACCAAGACTGATGTGTTGGAAATAATGAAGTACCAAGACTGATGTGTTGGAAATAATGGAGTATCGAGACCGATGTATTGGAAATAATGGAGTACCGAGACTGATGTATTGGAAATACTGGAGTACCGAGACTGATGTGTTGGAAATACTGGAGTACCAAGACTGATGTGTTGGAAATAATGGAATACCAAGACCGATGTGTCAGAACACTGAATATGATAAAAAACATCGAGTACCATGTCAGCCAAAAGTTGCAACCAGTGACGACGAAATTGAAAGCCTCACAACTGTGAATACTGGTGTAAGTTTGTATCTTGTAGTGACTGAATGCTGTCATGACTCAATGTTGTGGTTACTGAATGCATGTGGTTACTGAATGCATGTGGTGACTGAATAATGTGATGACTGAATGCTGTGGTAACTGAATGATGTGGTTACTGAATGCATGTGGTGACTGAATAATGTGGTTACTGAATGCATGTGGTGACTGAATGCGTGGTTACTGAATGCATGTGGTGACTAAATGTTGTGGTTACTGAATGCATGTGGTGACTCGATGATGTAGTTACTGAATGCTGTCATGACTGAATGTTGTGGTTACTGAATGCATGTGGTGACTCAATATGTAGTTACTGAATGCAGTGATTACTAAATACTGTGGTTACTAAATGTTGTGATTACTGAATGTTGTGGTAACTGAATGCTGTGGTAACTGAATGATGTAGTTATTGAATGCTGTCATGACTGAATGTTGTGATTACTGAATGCATTTGGTGACTGAATGTGTGGTTACTGAATGCATGTGGTGCCTCAATGCGTGGTTACTGAATGCTGTCATGACTGAATGTGTGGTTACTGAATGCTGTCATGACTCAATGTGTGGTTACTAAATGCTGTCATGACTGAATGTGTGGTTACTAAATGTTGTGATTACTGAATGTTGTGGCAACTGAATGCTGTGGTAACTGAATGATGTGATGACTGAATGCTGTGGTAACTGAATGATGTGGTGACTGAATGCAGTGGTGACTCAGTGTGTGATTACTGAATGCTGTGGTTACTGAATGCAGTGATTACTGAATGTTGTGATGACCGAATGCTGTGGTAACTGAATGATGTGGTGACTGAATGCAGTGGTGACTCAGTGTGTGATGACTGAATGCTGTGATGACCGAATGCTGTGATGACTGAATGTTGTTATGACCGAATGCTGTGATGACTGAATGTTGTTATGACCGAATGCTGTGATGACTGAATGCTGTGATGACTGAATGCTGTGATGACTGAATGTTGTTATGACCGAATGCTGTGATGACTGAATGTTGTTATGACCGAATGCTGTGATGACTGAATGTTGTTATGACCGAATGCTGTGATGACTGAATACTGTGATGACTGAATGTTGTTATGACCGAATGCTGTGATGACTGAATGTTGTTATGACCGAATGCTGTGATGACTGAATGCTGTGATGACTGAATGTTGTTATGACGGAATGCTGTGATGACTGAATGCTGTGATGACTGAATGCTGTGATGACTGAATGTTGTTATGACCGAATGCTGTGATGACTGAATACTGTGGTGACTGAATACTGTGGTGACTGAATGCTGTGGTGACTGAATACTGTGGTGACTGAATACTGTGGTGACTGAATGCTGTGGTGACTGAATGCTGTGATGACCAAATGCTGTGATGACTGAATGCTGTAGTGACTGAATGTTGTGATTACTTAATCATTTGTTGAGAGAGGTGATTTAAGACGTTTAAATCTGTTGATGGAGGATCCCTCCAGAATCCACTCAGATCGTACTCTACAGGCTTTGACATCAGTTGATGGATGGGGGCCGTGTCAGTTAGAATCGATAAGAGGCTCGCTTTCAAATCCAGCTGTGACTCGCTGCAGCCCACGGTCGGTGTTCGAAACCGGGCAGTTCCTGGGGTTCACCCAGCCTCTAGGAAATGGGTACCAGAGTGATACTCTGGGGTAAATGGAGGAACGTCGCTGTAGTTACAGAGTTACGTGCGAACGGCGACACAGGCAGACAATTCTTATCAGCTGTCCGTACTGGTCGCAGAGCACTTATGGTTTATAACCGTGTGCAGTGACTCTGGTTCACATCTCCCGACTTTACCTTTACATTACTTTCCCTCCAAAATATAATCAGATCTCAGTCTACAGACATTGACAACCGTTGACGGAGGATCCCTATGTCACTAGGACATGATTAAAAGCAACAGGTTAGTTGCGTATCCTTTACAGGACGTTGCAGAACCAACCCCATCAGCCCCTGGCTGTTGTGTGATTTCACTAGGCAAATTTACGTCCAGTAGTTTGCCATTGCCGTCTGAATGGTCGGCTCCCTGATACCACTGTCGAAACCATCGCAAGGCGTAAGGCCTGCAGCTGGAATCGAACCCGGTACCCCAGCATTATGAAGCGTTCGCATCGACTTAGCCACAGAGCCGAATTGAAAGCAACAGATAGTTCAATTCCATGTCATTAATTGTTACTGTTGTTTTACATTTGCACTATGCCCGGTTTCTTGTTGAGTTTAGTCGAATTAAGTCTCCTGGCATTCAGGACATTCAAAGAAACCCCCTGTCCTTAACTTTAGCATCAAGCGAAGATTTCCAATGCTGGAGTTACCTGTAGCATTCTGATTGTATGTCTGTCTTTCCCAATCTGCTGAGTGTGGAATGTCTTGTGTGAATGCTCTAGAGCACCCAGACATATGATGCTCTGTGGTTGATGCTGACTGTATGTATGTTTATTTGTGTTTCCTTGCAGGCCAGCCGGAGACAGATGCTGTGGTGAAACCGTACATTGCCAGGTTTGTCAACTGGGGAGTTGGTTGGCTGGATGGGAAAGGCAGGTAGGTGACCGAGGCTGGGTTCCTTCATTAGGGACACAGTTGTTTCCTTTGTGTGTGTGGTTTGTTGGATAGGTAAGGTAGCTAGGTGACATTAGGTTCCTTTGTGTGTGTGGTTTGTTGGATAGGAAAGGTAGCTAGGTGACATTAGGTTCCTTTGTGTATGTGGTTTGTGGGATAGGTAAGGTAGCTAGGTGACATTAGGTTCCTTTGTGTGTGTGGTTTGTTGGATAGGAAAGGTAGCTAGGTGACATTAGGTTCCTTTGTGTATGTGGTTTGTTGGATAGGTAAGGTAGCTAGGTGACATTAGGTTCCTTTGTGTGTGTGGTTTGTTGGTTAGGTAAGGTAGCTAGGTGACATTAGGTTCCTTTTTGTGTGTGGTCTGTTGAATAGGTAAGGTAGCTAGGTGTCATTAGGTTCTTTTGTTTGTGTGGTTTGTTGGATAGGTACGGTAGCTAGGTGACATTAGGTTCCTTTTTGTGTGTGGTTTGTTGGATAGGTACGGTAGCTAGGTGACATTAGGTTCCTTTTTGTGTGTGGTCTGTTGAATAGGTAAGGTAGCTAGGTGTCATTAGGTTCTTTTGTTTGTGTGGTTTGTTGGATAGGTAAGGTAGCTAGGTGACATTAGGTTCCTTTGTGTGTGTGGTTTGTTGGATAGGTAAGGTAGCTAGGTGACATTAGGTTCCTTTTTGTGAGTGGTTTGTTGGATAGCTGTGGTAGCTAGATGATATTAGGTTCCTTTGTGTGTGTGTGTGTGTGGTTTGTTGGATAGGTAAGGTAGCTAGATGACGTTAGGTTCCTTTGTGTGTGTGTGTGTGTGGTTTGTTGGATAGGTAAGGTAGCTAGATGACATTAGGTTCCTTTGTGTGTGTGTGCGTGCGTGCATGTGTGTGGGGGGGTGGGTGGGTGGTTTGTTGGTTAGATGGGGGGTAGTTAGGTAACATCTTTTCTAAGGTCACAAGAGTTAACACACACACATTAACCCACAGAGTTGTCTAACAATCTCTCATCTCCGTCCACAGATACCCCTTTTCCTGGCCCTGTGGTGGCAAGCGTGTCCGTAGAGTCTGTATCTTCGGAGTCCGTGACCTTCCTCTGCTGACCAATCGAAAGGAGCTGTTTGCGAACAAGTTTATGATTGACTTCCAACCGTTGACTTTGGACTGCCTGGAGGAGTGGCACTTCAACATGACCTTGGTGGAGTACGCCAGAAAACTGTCCATCGATACCACCTGGTACCACAACCTGGACATTGTCAGAAACCAAGTGACTTAACACTGGTTGCATTTAGGTTTTAAACAAATATTTAGCTCACGTTCAGTGCCAGACTTTCTGTTGACTCAAAGATAACGTGCACATCATCAAAAAGCCAACGACTGAATATTTGTAGCATTTCAGCTGTTTGTCTAACACGCTAGAAAACTTGCCGTCCTAATTGAGTTCAGTTGGTGGTATTTTGGATCTTGTCCAGCAAAGCACCGGACTTCCTGTGAAACCTGCAGTGTTGACTGTTTGGCAGAGCCTGCCACTCCTGCATAAGTCTCTACAGCCATCGCAAATGGCTATTGGCCAATCAGCAGATTGACAGCTGGGACAACAGTTTACATCCTCCTAGACTGTCTCAGCTACAACATAACAACGCAAAACTTCTAGCCAAGAGAAACATCTGTGCAAGCTAGACTTTTTCGGGTCAGGTTCGTAGTTCATTGCTGATATATCATCTATTTCAGACGAACAAAAGAAGAATAAAAAAGCAGATGCTGTTTCCAACACCTGCAGTACAACTCCATGGTCCCTAGTGACTGACGGTTGCCTACTGCTACAGTGTAAACATGAGCCAGAAGCCGACTGTGACCCTGCAACGTGGACAATGGTCAAAGGCTGGCTGTAGTGTCTAGCTTCTTGTCCAGAACAGTACTAGACCTTTTGTGACCCTACAGTGGGGACACTGGTCAGAAGCCGGCTGTGACCCTACAACATGGAGAGTGGTCACAAGCCAGCTGAGGTGTTTAGGGTCTTTGAATTAGGTCAGGAGAGGCCTCCATGGTGAAAGGGACAAGTATGCGTTGTTGTGACGGCTGGGGAAATTCTGGTCAAATTTACCCTGTTCAGTTCACAAGTGCAGTTTATTTGGAGATCTGTGAGGGTTGTCGCTGGAGCAATGAGTTACCGAACCATTCAGGATACAACCTGTAATTTAGTGAAGCACACTACCAGACTTTAATTGATGCCACATTGTGGGTGTTAATGCGCCTGATACACTTCGAGGTGGGGAAGGAGTGGTCGGTTGATAGGGGGTGTTGATGATAATTAAGATTCAGCAACACTAGTTCAGCCTATTGGCTGGGGAAGGGGGGGGGGGGGGTGAACAGATCACGTAAACACAATTTGGTTCTGGCTGCTGGTGTTTGTGTAGCGTCTGACACAGATCGCTCAAACACAGTGTTTATTCTTGGTTTAAAGAGTGCTTGATAGTGTGTTTGTTTTTTAAACTGTTTGTTTGTGATTCTGCCTGCATGTATGTGCACGCATGTCACAAATTGCTCAAACATAAGATTTATATATTTGTAATTATGATGTAGATATTTTTCATTGTGGGTATGAATATCATCAGGAGAGAGAGAGAGAGAGTGAGAGAAACAGCATGTGAGAGATAGAGAAAAGCACAAGTAAGGGGAATAAGGGAGAGGGATGAGAGAAACAGGACTGAAAGGGAAAATGAACGAGTAAATCTCGGAACAACAGATCACCATAGAGAGCAGATGAAAGGAAGACAAGAATGAGGTCAGCTGAGTTTTTGTGTGTGACTTTTGTCATCGTCAAAATGAATGAACTTGTGCTCAGAGTTCTGAAGGAGACTGGATCCCTCTTCTCATAATACCATAACTGAGGGTACCTTCTTCTTCTTCTCTTCCACCTTGTACCTCATCGAAGTGTCAGGGGGAGATGTAATGTTCGTTGATGAGCTCTGTAAAGACTGATGTTCATTTCTGTAAGGCTGTTCTAAATGCCATCACTCCATCTTTTCCGAGGTCTTCCACGCGCTCTATACCCGTTGTAACGTTTTAGTGTGGCTTGCTGTGGCGGATAGTACCAGGGCATTCTTGTTAGGTGTCCAAACCACTTCATTTGTTGTTCTTTGATTGAGGGTACCTGAAACCTATATCTAAGTTGTTTTTTTTTTTTTTTTAGTTGGAATGAGAAGAAAATTCTTAAATGCTATTTAAATCCTATCCTGATGTACAGCAGATAATAATGGACAGTTGGTATATTAGTGAAAACTTATTTGGAAGTTGTGATGTGTTTTTTTTTTAAAATAGACTAAATGATGAGAATACCCTGGACAGAAAGAAGACAAAAAAGAGTAATGAGGATGTTTTGGAAGAAACTGACTCACAAAGAGAACTGATTGCCCACATCAGAAAGAGACGGTGTTGTCGTCATCACTGTGACAGCGGCAGGGTGTCTAGATGCCTGACCGAAGGTGTTGTGTTCAAATCCACATCACAGTGGGTTGTTTTAATAAATGGCTCTGGGCCTCCTGGGTTAATCCAGCCTAAAGTGGGTGCCAGCAAGCAAATGTGGCTGGCGAGGAGTTGATCACATGACCCACTGAGTGCTGATTGGTCGACAGAGATAACATTTGACAATGCGTTTTAAATGGGTCATTTAATTTACATACTTGTTTAAGTTGATCACATCACCTCTAGAGTGCCAGTTGGTTGACAGAAATAAGAGTTTGACATTGTGTCAGTGTTGTAAATAGGGGTCATTTACATACTTGTCTGCTTCATCGTCATCATCACGTGGCATTACTGCTGGCTTTCACAATCAGTTTTATATGACATGGTCATCCTGACCAGGTACCTGATCACTAAACATGTTTCTCTTGCCAGGTTGTGTGTGTGAGAGGTCAAGTGTCCTTTTGGTACACGGTTTGCCGTGTATGTCATGTCATGTTTTCTGGTCATCGCCCTTGCTGGAAGTGTGTGTTTGTTTGCGTCGACCAGCTGTCAGCTCTGGCGTAAAGTCCTGGTTGTTCGTCATTTCTGGACTGTAGTTAGGTTTCAGAACCTGAGATTTGCATGTGCATCTGTTTTACAGATTTGTATGCAGGCTGTTGGTTTCTTGCCTCTCAGGTAGATGGACTCCAACTTTGAAAGAAACTCCCGTAATTAGTCTCTTTTTACAACCTGCTTTTCGGGGGGGGGGGGGGGGGGGGGGTGGGGGGGGGGGGGTATTCTCTTCCACCCCCCCCCCCCCCCCCCTTCCTCCAAATAGGGCTCTAGAACCCACACGGGGAGCTGAAGGTATTTAAAACTTGACTATATTATCACCTTGTCATCTTGTTCTGTATTATAGTATTCTGATGTGTAGGTTTGTTTGCTACAATGTTCTGCTACTTGTCTGAATTGTTATTTTGTCTGTAGTATCTTCCCTGTCTCAGATGAATGAATACTTAATGTTGTTTTGTGTCTTCCCTGTCTTGCAGTATTTAAGACACAATGACAGGATATGATGTCGTTTTAGTTTCTTCCATGTCTGAAAGTTGTTATGATTTAGCTGTATGATGTGTAAGTTTGTCTTCTTATTTAGTGTCTTCCGTGTATTGAAGTATTTTATAATTTGAAATATGATTTTTGTCTTCCCTGTCTTACAGTGTATTATCATTTACAAACATACTGTCTTGCACTTTAGTATCTTCCATGTCTCTGTGATTTAAAAAAAACATGGCATGTCTTTTCATTGAATGTCTTCCTTGTCTTAACCCTTTCACCTCGGAAAACAGACACTTTTGGTTAGATCCAATCCCCCATAAATGTCACTTTTCAGACTTGCTTGTCACGACCTGTTTACAGGATGTGTAGTTAATGCATTTGGCTTTGCGTCTGAGCAAATGTTCAGGATATTAATAAACTAACATACATTGCATTTAGAGGTTTTTTTTATATTTGTGATAAATGGCTTTTTTTTTTAGAGCCATGATGACATCAGATTTCCTCATAAGCCTCCGTGGTAAAGGTAACGGGGTCACGGCAAGGGTCATCCGATATGTGTGTTTTTTTAATGTTGCAGGGAATGTATTTAATGTAATATTTGGCCCTATATGTGTTTACTGATGACTCTTTTCATGTCTTTACGTATTTCAACAAATAATTTTGAAATTTTGATACATTTTTAATGCATTTATTAGTGACTTGTATAAAAAAAAAAACATATGGAATTTTAACAGGGTTCTTTGGGCAAAAAGATTAAAGTTTTTTTATTTTTTTTTATTTAACATGATTTGCTGCAGCCTGGTCAGTCTTTCAGATGGAATAGTTTTTGACTTTTTGTGCAGTTTTCACTGTCTCACAAACTGAACAGCTAGGGGTTTATCTGTTTGCCTTGAAGCTGTAACAAGCCGACAGCTAGCGATGATTTAACAGCAAGATGTGTGATCATGCCCTGTCAGTTCAAATCTTCCGTGTCTGAAAGTGTACAAGATGTAACCTATTGTGTCCTGTAATGTGTTTTCTTTCATTGATGAATGAAAATATTTAAAATAAACAGTACCTTGTGATATCTTGTCGTTGAGGATTTTCCATTTCGTTAAAAAAAAAAAAATGTACAAAAAGTAACTCCATATTATATAATATGTTGGCACTGTGCTAAGGTTATCTAAGTGTGATCTTGGGGATTTGGCATTTTAAAGACCCTTATTTGTCTGCTTTACAGTCTGTCACAGGCACACATGGGAATTTCTATAATTCCTACTCCTTGGTAAACAGACCTGCTCTTGTCACAGCCTGGCTCCAGACAAACCTGCTCTTGTCACAGCCTGTCTCTAGACAGACCTGCTCTTGTCACAGCCTAGCTCTAGACAGACCTGCTCTTGTCACAGCCTAGCTCTAGACAGACCTGCTCTTGTCACAGCTTGGCTCCAGACAAACCTGCTCTTGTCACAGCCTAGCTCTAGACAGACCTGCTCTTGTCACAGCCTAGCTCTAGACAGACCTGCTCTTGTCACAGCCTAGCTCTAGACAGACCTGCTCTTGTCACAGCTTGGCTCCAGACAAACCTGCTCTTGTCACAGCCTAGCTCTAGACAGACCTGCTCTTGTCACAGCCTAGCTCTAGACAGACCTGCTCATGTCACAGCCTAGCTCTAGACAGACCTGCTCTTGTCACAGCTTGGCTCCAGACAAACCTGCTCTTGTCACAGCCTAGCTCTAGACAGACCTGCTCTTGTCACAGCCTGGCTCCAGACAAACCTGCTCTTGTCACAGCCTAGCT